TTTCAGTAAATATGCCGCCCAGATATTACACTTCACTGGCTTGCTTTAGCTGGGTCGCATTGTTGTTAATGCTCAGTTTTTCTGGTCTCTTGCTGGGGGCCATAACTCAGTCTTAATGACACTGTTCTTCATGTCGTATTAATCGTAGATTCAATTGAGTTGGTCAGTGTATTCTTACAGCTGGGTCCTTTCGTTGTTCATCATTGCATGGTCGTCGGCGAAGTCTAATAGAATTAAATGAATAGAATATATAACATTAATCTAAAAATTGTCTTCTTTAACATGTCGTGTTCCTTCATGAACATGGCTTCTCAACATTTTTCTGTCGCCTGTAGCTCTTAATAAATGTTTGTTTTTGTCATCTTTCCCATATAGTGCGCATCCATAGGGTACCTCGGTGAAATGGTTAGCGATCATGTCTCGTTAGGACAATTACGACTGAGTAGTGAGTTCGATCTTCACTGGGTGCTCCATATTTTCGGCCTTGTGCCCAATTTAAGCTACGCTTGGAAAATCACTATAGTGCGCCGCCATGCATTCAATCAAGTTCGACAAGGTAGGTTGTGCTTTGCTTCCCTCAACTGTCCTGGGAATATTCAATTTTCCAAGCCCTCTTTACTAATTATATCCGAGAAACCTGAACAATGTCTCCCTGATGTTAAGTATAATTGTCTTTTTCGTTTCCATCTTCTCCAAAACTTTGTCGTTGCTCGCATGTCTGGTCCATCGTTTTCTAAGAATCCTTCTTTAGAATCGCATTTCTGTCATATCAAGTTTATTAACCAACTGTGAGTAGATTTTTCGCTGGTGATTTATCCCGGTCACTTAAAACCGCCTTCATTTTAATATCCGCAACACTTTTTCATCAACAGGTAACCGAAAGTTTAATGGGTGTTTTTTGTTTTTAACTTTACACGCGAAATTGAATGCTGATCCATCAAATTAATCTATTGGTATTTTCTGGACAACTTAATAGAAGTCGATAGGTTTAAATGTTTTAAGAACATTCTATGGTATTCTACGGTGGAATTTGATGTTGGTCAATATTTTTATTACGCTAGTGTCGAAGCAACAATTAGATTTTAACAGACACTAGATTTATTGCAAATATCAGTGAATTATGTACACTTCCATTTATTATTTTCACTTGATGTGCACACACACAGACACACACAAACTGACAGACAAAAACAGATACACACATACACACACACACACACACACACACACATATATATATATATATATATATATATATATATATATATATATATATATATATATATATGTATGTATTCTTTTGGTGGAGGTGTAATGGATCCCCAATGACAATTTATATTAGAAAAATGACAAATTGCATTCAACTTTGGCTCAGTATTTGTTGTATATCTTGATATAACGAAGCTTTGACAGCTGAAAATATATGAAATATTTCAACAGATTTAATCTCTCTCCGTTATATTTGAGAACTGAAGTTCATGTATCGAACGTATAAAATAGAGATCGTTCTTATTTAGATTGTCTGAGGTTGTGATCGTTGTAAATTTTTTAATTTTTTTTTTTTTTTGCTGTGCGACCGCTATTAGAAGCTTACATCGGCAATTTCGATTTCGTGTCGGGTATATTATTGTTATATTATCAAGGATACATGTAAGATATCCCACAAATGAAATCTTCTTTAGCTACAACACACGGGAGATAGTATGGACTTGGACTGATAGGTTCAGTTTGGCTACGCTGGTACGTTCTCGTTAACTCGATCGAGTCTTAGGTGAAAGTGTCGAAGTAGGGCTCTTCGGTTGTCCAAATTTCCCTTCGGATGATCGGCTCGTACGTGTTCGGGCAAATTTAGATAGGCCTAATGTTAAGATGGATGGATACTGGAAAGTGAATGCATCATTGTTTAGTGAGCGTGATTTCCATCCTCAGCTGTTACTAATGCTAACAGCGGAAAGGGCGGTGACTGAGTTTGGGAATATGTGGTGGGATAAATAAAAATCCAAAATTAGGTCGTTTGCTTCTGGTTGTAGATGTCTACACAATCTAGTTAGATTAGCTGCGCAAATGTTATGTGAGGAAAAAGTAAATCTAGCCATCAAATCCCTTGATAGTGGGTAAGTAGCCTTAAGTAGGGGTGAGTTGCACTCCTTGCTTATCAAAAAGGATCACGTTCGGGTAGTTAGGTCCCGGTTAAAAAGAATGTCTTCCGCGTCGATGAATAAGGTTACTGAATTGCGTGCAGATTAATTTAGAAACGGATCCAGTAGACATAAAGCCTCCGTCACATTGCCAGATAAACGGACAGTCACAACAAACGCGGGTATATGTGAGACTTTCCGTGACTACTTTCAGGATCTGTTCACGAGAGAGATTGGTCTGAACACTGCTAAGTCCGACGCCTATTTGGATCATCTTCCCCGTCTCGATGCGGCTGAAGCAGCTGGGTATGAAGGTCCCAGATTCGGAAATGTGAGAAGCTCTGAGGTTGGTTGGCCGGGACAAAATTCCGGGATTATTTGGCCTTCTTTACGAATTGTAATTAAGGCAGTCGCCTGACTTTTTACCTGGCATTTATTTGCAAAATCTAGATGAAGCAAGGGTCTATACCTCAACGCTTCAGCAGGTGTGTGATCAAATTGCTGTTCAAGGACAATAACGATGGTAATGAAATAGGTATCTTTCAGACTTTAAGTATGTTAAACACAGAGTTAAAAATTTTACTCAAGATCTTAACCAGCAGTTAGCAGGATTTCCTTTCAAGTCTGATTAGCTCCGAAAAGACTTGTTCTGATTTGAGCAGGGCTATTCAGAACAAACTTAATTTTGTGCGATGGATCATCGGGCAAGATGCGCTGATCTATTTAGAACTGCCCAAGTCATTTAATAAGAATGATAATCGATTCCTGTCCTTTCCGCTGTTTGTTTCGGACCATATTTTTGCACCTGGACCCGACTTCTGTATCCGTCTGCCGATGCGATGGAGGATGTGAATGGGGTTTGATCGGAGCATTTCGAATTGCCTCGCTGCATTCTTCATGATTACCCGCTTTCGCCTTTTTTAAGTTCTTGCGTTGGGGTCTTTCCCTCGCAAGTTAAAGACGAATCCGTTCATGCGCGGAATTTCCCAACCTGGGAAAAATGAACAAACTGTGTTCGCTGGGGTGAGTCATTTCCCACTGTAGGATCATTGACCCGTTGTGCAAGTTTATTGAAGATATCATGGTTCGCATGTAGCGGGGAAAAATCTTTGTCCACGGGTATGTTATGATTGTAGCAATATGTCAACGCCGTGATTTTTTTTTATTTGCTCGGCATTATGAGTGTATTGATATGAACGACATGACAGAAAGCATTCCATGAGAACGAGAAGTTTCTCAACTGATCCTGTACGTTAAGCATCAGCTTAAAGCCAAGATTTGGACGGAAAAGCGACGGCACCGTAGATCATAATTTGGCAAAAGTTTGGTGTGTCTTGACCGTCTGTTTCGAGTGAAAGGATTTGACTTGGAGTGGCATTTTGATGCCGGTTAGACATGAGCATATTGGAAACTCAGTGTTGAACTTACGCAACACCGCCCAAAATAGGATTTGATTTATCCGTAATTTCTTCCATCAAGTTGACCTAGCTACAATAGGATGCATATTCTTTGGCCTATTTTATCTCTGTCTACATTTTCTTATATATATATATATATATATATATATATATATATATATATATATATATATATATATATATATATTACAATAAACGTGCAATCAATTTACAAATACATGAATTATTCACATAAAACTAATGCAAAGGTTAATGATTTAAATGGCGAGACATCCATCATCGCAAACAATTCAAATAGTATACAAAAACCTCCAGATCCGTTATGAATGAATTGATCCTTGTTTATATAAATTTCTGCCGTGTTAGTTGTTATTTTTACTACAAGCTTTCGTCTGTTCCTACAG